CAAACGCTTATTTCAGTGTTCAAAAAAATATAAGACAGGGTCTTATTTTTGGGAAAACACGGTACATAAATCAATTTGATTTTGCTATTGTCTATCCAATTATGCCCATATGTAGAGTTGTCTTTTCAATTTTTGAAAGAAGGTATTTGCTTTAAACTTTGAATTTTCATTGAATTTTCCTGGTAGCACTCTGTCAGTGTCTCACTTCAGTTTGTACTGTACATCAAGGCAAATTTTTCCATTATGCCACATGTTATTTTACATCAACTTTCTAGTCTCCTGCAAAAAAAAAATCTGTCTTAAATAATGCAGCATATTATATTCAGAAATGTTCACATATGCAGGAGGATTTTCTTGGGAAAGGGTACCTGGATACAAACAAGCATGCTTCAGAAATAACATATTCCCCTGGAAGTATCCACTACCTGTAATTAACTATATAGATTTCTATGTATACATCTGAAGTCTTTATCTGAATGCATCATTTTTGCTGATGGAGTCCAGAAACAAACATCCACTCCTTTTCTCTAAGTGGGAAAAGAAGAAAATTGGCACTTTCTCAAGAAAAAGGTAAATATTGCTTTAAGTCATGCTAACACCTGGCCACCATGCAAAAGTGATTTGACACTGTCACTATTTTGCGTTTACTTCGCACATTGTCTAAATGCGTAAGAATATTCTGGTGGCCTCCTATCCAAGTACAAACCATGCCTGATCTTGCTTAGCTTTTTTTAGAGGTAAACCTAGATCTTCTAGGTGCTCCCATCTGCTTAGTAAGTGGGAAATACTGAGTGGTATCCCAGTGCATAGAAAAACTTCATTTCTTGAAATCAGAAGGAGTTTGATTTGATTATTCTGGTTTTCAGGATAATACATTTTATTGAAAGGCCTAAACATGTGTGAACTGTAGTTCACTTCACCTGAAGCGTGGAGTAGTTAAACTGAGGTAAGACCACCGACATGTTTCTTCTCCTACAATGCATTCTCCCTATGGCAGCGGCCCCCAATCTTTTGGGCACCAGGGACCAGTTCGGTGGAGAAAGATTCTTCTACGGACCAGAGGGAGTATGGTTTTGCATGCTGCCTGCATCCTGCAAATGGGGCTTCACTTGTTTGTGCAGCCCAGTTGCTGACATACCATGGACTGGTATAGGTCCATGGACCGGGGACTGGGGACCCCTTCCTCGGGGACTTATAATTCTTATACATGTGACTTCTGGTGGCATTCAGATATTGGATAAAATCTGAACTTTATATATATTTAAACACACATTACACCACATAATTTACAGGCTTTACAATCTTGTATAAAAAGTGACTGTTTACTTATTAGCTCTCTCATATGAAGTAGCCGTCATGTATCATGAAATATCTGCTCTGCATCTGAATTTTAGGTTGTCTTCTCCCACTTTTTTCTTGCAACCCTCAAGATACAAGTGCCATAATTCTGAATTTCCTCATATTGTGACTTGATTCTCCCAACTCCAGTTTCTTTTTCTCTCTCTTCCACCTTAGTGACCTTTCCTGCTAAGTTATTAGAGAAATCAAACAGTTTGGTCTGTGTGTTTTTTTTAACAAGCCAGTTAGAATTTGTCTGTGTTCCAAGTCCCCTGCCATATAAAAAAGATATTTCCTTCTCAGAAGGCACTGGATGTGATCTTTCACCCATGAAATGTCATAGGATCTTCATGCACACCATCTCTCAAGTGAGACTGGGTTAAGACCTGGAAATGCCCATCCTTTCTGTCCTGTATAATTTTCCTGTTTCAAAGCTAGTTGGCAGCAGACTGTGGGTATGATATAAGGGCGATGAGGCCCAGATCCACACTTGTAAGGATCCCATAGTATCATCAGCTTCTGCTGGGCATAGAGCTGGTCTATATCAATTACTTTCTGGGTATACAAGCAGAGTGAAGTCTAAGGCATGTTTCTCCCATTATGCTGAAATTGAAGAAGTCTTCAGTACTCAGATGATGACTGGCGAGTTTTGACAGACTTGCTATGAGGGTGGATTTTACTAGGGAGAAAGTATGTATTAGCTCTGCCACTTCTTTCATTCCACTACATGATGTGTTCAGATTATATTTCCAGAAGCTTTCATTTCTGGGCTGACAGCACCATGCCACAAATATTACAAAGAGAAAATGCCTTTTAATCACATTTTGAGCTAGCTAGATTTAAAATGATAATGAATGGTGCATATTTATGTAGGGACATGTATCGGTCTATGGGAGGGAGTTGTAATGACTAAGAAAAAAGACTGCTTAATCAGAGGTGTGCCAAGCAGGAATAAATCACTGTTGCCTTTAGGAATTTTATGTCATAGATCCAACACAAAGGCTTTAACTACAGGTATCTAATAATTAAATCCTATTTCACTTCACTGTAAGTGGAAAACTTGTTTACTTTGGAACTTCCCTTTTGTTAAAGCCACACATTTAAAACACAGAAAATGTTTTAGACTAGAATGTTGAAGGTTTTTTTTCATGACAATAGAACAATTCATTGTTATTGAGGTACAGTTTCAGCCAAATGGAAAGGCAGGGTTGTGATTCAGAGTTAAATAAATTAGCCCTGTCTTCCATCATATATTAACTCTGAAATATGGCATACTCCTTAATATTTTAGTCTGTAAACTGACTGCTTGTTTGAAAACCAATGTTAATTTACAGCTGTCAGGAGTCGGCATTCAGCCCAGGGACCATTCCTGCATAAAGCAAAATCCAATACACCACACTTTAAAAGGCGGAATCAAAGATGTCCACGAAGTCACATTCCATTTTCCAAAGCAAAATAAAATAATTCTAATTCAAAATCTGAAGAAGGTAAAGGCAGATTGCCTATGCACAATAAGAAACTAACACCACTGAGGAAGAAGAAAGGATGAAAAATGAATTCCAATTGGAACAGAATAGAGGAACTGATAGATAAAATTACATTCCTTTGTTTTAGGAGGAAAAAAGAGCTTTCAAATTTCCTATTTCGTTTCCTGTTTAGAAAAAAGAGTGAATGTTGGAGAATGGGAGAAAAAAAAACGGGGAGTCAAAATGAAAGGATGTCTTGTCCAAACATCTTTTACATGACATCAGAAACCTAAGATTTTCCATCCTGCTGAGATTCTTGCATTAGGTTTTTACTTTCTTTGAACTCTAGTCAGAACACTATATTCACTATCCCTGGTTTGTTTTTAGAGGTGATAATAACTACCTAAGTAACTACCACAGGCCAGAGAATAGTACAACCAGTTCCACAGACTCAGGGAGACTTTGGCTTGCATTTTTCCAACAGCAGCTTCTGTTCTTCTGCCAAGACTCATATATCTGAAGGGTGATTGGTTAAAATAATTTCTAATGGGATATTCAAGTTAATTTAGCGTGTTCTTTTTTAACTTCAAAGACCAATTAAACTCCTTCTGTACAGCCAAGTAATTTTCCAAGTCTGACCATAATTGTTAATGTTGTTTAAGTAACTTTTGCTTACATTTTTCAAAAGTTTAGAGTCTTTTTGTTTCTTGCTCTAAAGCAGCATTTTTTAGCTGTAGCAACTTTAAAATGGGTGGACGTCAGCTCCCAGAATTCTCCAGCCAGGAATTGACGCTCTAAAGCAGTTTATAATAATTTCCATCTTAGAGATGGGGAAAAAAGAAGTGAAAGGAAAGCCTATCACATCCAAGATTAACACAAACAAACTCAACAAATTTGATTTAAAAGAGCTAGTTTGGCCTAGCAATTAAAGCACCAGGCTAAAAACCAAGAACATAAAGAGTTTCTTGGTTCTATTACAATCTTAGCCACGAAAGCCAGCTGGGTGACTTTGGACCAATTACTTTCTCTCAGCCTAGAGAGAATCACTCACAGGGTTGTTTGTTTTGGGGGTGTGGGGTGTGGAATAGGAGAAGAAAGGGGTAGTAGATGTGTTTGACATCTTGAGTTATTTATAATAATAATAAAGGCAGGACAGAAAAAGGATCTTAAACAAGAGTTTTAGAAGACAGCAAAGTAAAAATAATCTAACCCTGCTGGAAAAGAAACTCCATAACCAGGGCACTGTCTTGCTTAATTAAATTATTTCAATAGAAAACAGGGCTGGCTATTGTCAAAACCCATCGTGTATTTATATCCTGTAAGGCCTTTCAAGAATGAAAGGGCTCCATCTACTTTCTGAGTAAATTCTGTAGCAGCCCTGTCTTGAAATGTATCTACCTCCCTTCCCCACACTCACTCCTGTGCCAACGTAAACTCGAAGAAACGTGACTGGAGCTTGCAACGTCCCACCCTCTTCTCTTTTCACCACTATGCTGCCCAATATGCAAACTGCAGCTTTATAAACGGGGCGGGTTTTCCTAGCAAGCCTGACTTTAAAATTTCAGGAAGCATCTCACATTGAGAGAATCTGCGCCTTGAAACTCCCACAAAAGTTTCCAAGCAACCCACCCTTCTGGCTTAAAAATCGAAAAATGCAAGCCAGGAATATATCATCAGAGAGCCCCGGGGCTGGAGAATATAGCTTCTAACGTGTTAGATACACGCTTGAAGGTGTAGCGATTGTGTTGGGGGTTTTGGTTTTTTTTTTTAAAGTTTTGGGAGACAAGTTGCAACCGACTTGTTTATTCGGCCACGCGTCCCGTGCCGGCGACACTTTCTACGGAGCAGAAAACTAGGTGTCAGTCGCGAATATCCAGGGCTGCCCTCAAGGGAGCCGTCCGGGAAAAAAAAGAGGCTGAATTGCCCTGATTTTTCTTCTCGATTCTCGCTCGCTTAAAAACTAAGGCTGGCATTGCCTTCGGGGAGTGGGGGGGAAATAAATTAAACCCTGGCACGAGTTTCGGTGCACAGCATTTCGTGAAAGCACACAGAGAGGACAGTTGAGGGGGGAAAAGATCCAAAAATGCTCCAAGGACAGTTTTTTTTTCTGGCCCAGGAATGCGCCGCTTCTTCGCGGCGGTGCGCCCCAGCAGCTCCCGGGGCGGTCTTGGCAGCCGCCGCCGTCCGCCTACTCACCATCTCTTTACGGAGCAGGGCCAAGGCGGCGTCGAGGTTAGGGGGCTTCGGCGGGCGAGGAGATCCTCGCCCCCCTCCGCCGCCGCCGCCGCTACCTCTCCGGCTCAGCTCGTCCTGAATGCGAGACTTCTGCGCGTAGAGCCGCTCCAGGTCCCTCCAGCGCCCCCCGGCTCCGCCAGGGGCGCCTCCGCTGGAAGAAGAATTCAACAAGCCGCTCAGGCTCTTGGGCAGCGGAGGCAGCCCCGACCCGCCGCTGTCGATGCTCCAAGGCAGCCCCGACGCGCTCATGGTGCTCGGAGGAAACGTCGGCTCGAAGGCAAAGCCGACTTAATCCACGGCGACAAAACAACGCCGCGCCGCCTCTCCTCCAGCCTGCATTGAGAAAAGAGTCTTTCTGTCCGGCTCGGGCCCGCCCCTTTTGGCCGGCCTCGCCTCAGCCCGCCCCGCCCTCTCCGGGCCTTCGCTTTCAGGACCGGCCCTGAAAGGAAACGAAAAGCGAGCGATCGGGAAGGAGGAGCGGCCGAAATGGAAGGCGTTATCTGGTACCGCTCAGCTGTCTTCTTGTGAGTTCCACCCAGCGAGGCAGCGGGTGGTTCAAAGAACTGAAACAGATAGCCGGTGGTCCTCGATTTACGGCCACAACGGAGCCTAAAATTTATGTTAAGTAAGACTTTGTTAAGTGGAGTGTGGTCCCGTTTTTATGACATTTCTTGCCACAGTTGTTAGAGTGAGTCGCTGCAATTGATAAGTTAGTAACCTGGTTGTTAAGTGAATCTGGCTTCCCCATTGGCTTTGCTTGTCAGAAGGTTGCAAAAAAGTGATCACATGACCGCGGGGACCAGTGGTGAAATTCAGCCGGCGCTATCCGGATTGCGTGATCCGTTAGTGCTGGCGGTGGGAGGCTCCTCCAACCCGCCCGGACGTCATCACGTCCCGTTTTTGACCCTCTGTGCATGCGCAGAAGGCTATGCACGTGCGTGGAGGAGGCACGCGCGCTCACATTTGCGAACCAGTAGCGAAGGTAAGTGAATAGCACCCATGGTGGGGATGCTGCAACGGTCATAAGTATGAACCAGTGGCCAAGCATCTGAATTTTGATCATGTGATCATGGGGATGCCGCAAAGGTTGTAACTGTGAAAAACGGTCATAAGTCACTTTTTTCAGTTCCGTTGTAACTTTGAATGGTCACTAAATGAACTGTTGTAAGTCGAAAGCTACCTGTACGTGCCTTCCAGTTGGTGTCGACTCTTTAGCGACCGTGTAGCTAGACTTTCTCCTGGCGATCTATCTGTCACCTGGTTTTTGGATGTATGAGGAAAAAATCTGGAGCCTGGATTCTTTTCCAAAACTCCTCTCCATTTTTCCAACTTGGAGAAATAAGGAACCACTGCAGGGGTGGGTTCTACTTACCTTTACTACCAGTTTGCAGCGGGGCCATGCACGCACTCTTCTGCGCATGCGCAGAAGCGTTCTGATGACATCGGCATCGGTGGGCGGAGCCTCCCACCGGTTTTACTACCGGTTCTATAGAACCGGTCTGAACCGGGGGCAACCCACCACTGAACCACTGCAATAATTGTAAGAGAGCGCTAGATTAGGGTAGGGGTTAAAAGGCTGCAAAGTCAATTAGGTGGCCTTGGGCCAGTCACTCTGTCTCTGCCTTAGGAAGGAGGCAAGAGCAAAGCACTTCTGAAATCTTGCCAGGCAAACTACAGGACTCGTTGGGAAAATTGCCAGGCATTTAAACAACTAACTGAAAGATGGACATAGATACAATGGATTCAAGATATTCATGGTAATGATGTTTAGAAAGATGCCACAAACAGTGAATGAGCGAATACTGAATCATTGCTCCTTGGGGAAACATAGGACGCTTGTTTACAGGAGAAGAGCTGAAACAAGGCAGAGCATCGCCTTGTTCGACCTCAGCTGGGAATGTGTGCATCAGGCAACCCAAATGTTTTCTTCTTCTGCAGATGTCCATGAATAATTGTGAAAGCACCACAAACATTGAATTTGGGATTACAAATAAATTTGAGGGAATAGGCAATTTTGAAAATACAAAATATGCAAATTAAGAGGATTCGTTTATATATATATAAAATTGTGTGTGTGTGTGTGTGTGTATATATATATACCAGTACATATACATATACATATACATATACATATACATATACATATACATGTTAGTTATCACCTTTAAAGTGCTCCATGGCTTAGGACCTGGGTACCTACGAGACTGTCTTTTGCCACCAATAGCCTCCCACCGACCAGTTCGTTGTCACAGGGAGGGACTACTCAGGGTACTGTCAGTCAAATTATGCCGACTGGCGACTCCCAGGGGAGGGCCTTCTCTGTGAGGGCTCCAACCCTTTGGAATGAACTGCCCCCGGAGATACGAAATATCCCTGATCTCCGTGCTTTCCGCCGTGCCCTCAAAACCCTGATGTTCCAACAGGCGGGGCTAAACATGAACATGTGAATGTTTTTAAAATGTTATCTAATTTTAGGTTCTATTTAATTGGGCCAAACTATGTTATAATAATAATTTTAATTAGCAATTTTATGATGTTTTGTGTATCTATATTTTTCTTGACTGTACACCGCCTTGAGTCCTACGGGAGAAAGGCGGTATAGAAATATAATAAATAAATAAATAAACAAATAAACAAACGAACAACATATACATATACAGATCTGAATGTAGGCCAAATTGAATGCAGTGGTGCTTATTTCTGAGTAAATAAAGATTCTCTCAGCTAGACTATATTATGGGTGCATCTTGCTCTTCATAACAATGCTACAGAAGTGGTTTGCCACTCACGTCATCCAGTACTGTATGTTTTTAAAAAATATTTTCTATTCTAGCCTACAGACTGCGATTCCTTAGTGATCTCTCAATCCAGTATTAGGTAACTCAGACCCCACCCTACTTAACAAATGAAGCCAGAAGGTTGGCTAGATGCTTCCACCCAAGAGACACAGGCAGCTTTAAAATTGCATTTATACTTTTGAAGCTACCATCTTATTTACACTAACTGGAGCTAAGGCCTATTATTAGCTCTTTCCTTGAAGTAAGCATGCATGGAGGAATTATTTAACTCCCCATAAGTAAATAATTTTATAAATGTGCCAAATAGAGCAATTTACTCAGACGCTTCTGCGCACTCACGAGCGAACCGGTAGCAAACTAAATTGAAACCCACTACTGAGCAGGACATGATTTTCTCCCTCACATATAGTTCCAGAAAGTATTTCAACATGGAGAAAGTTAACTTATTGTTTTGAGCAAGACCAGAAATAAAATGTTATAAACATGCAGAATTTTCCTAGAAAAAAAAGTAGATAGGGAAGGGGAGTGGGTGCCTTGAAATGTATTTGTAATTTAATTTAGGCATTGTTTCACTGCATATGGTGCTGTTTATAGATATTACATTTTTGTAAGTTTTTTGGTATTTTAATCGCCACAAAAGCTTGGTTCAATGCTTGGAGATGCATGGCATGAGAGTCAATACATATTTTTACTAAATTAAAAAATAGTAAATGAATCTGCTCTTTTTAAAGAGCAGATCCTAGCATACTCAAATGCAACAGATTAGTGGGTATCCGAATTTGTGGAAATAAAAATGTCTTTAAATGAATGCTTAAAACGAAAACAAAGGGAGATTGGTAAGCATCTGCAACTCTTTCTCTCAACTTGTGGAAGAAGTTATTTACAAATGACCTAAAATTGCTTTCATCTGCTTCTTTGCTTTTAAACTTCCTGGGTTTAATTACAGATTACTTTTGTTTATTGATAGTAATATTCATACTTACAGGCAAGAAACCCATTTTTAATAAGTGAAAGTTGCCCGGATCGTTTTACTCTAGCAGGAACCAAATCTGATTTAATTCAGAAAGCTACTCCTACCAGAAATGATGATGGATGAAGTCATTCAAAGGAAGCAGTATCAGTGTCCATCAAAGGAAGCAAAGGAAACAGTGTTTTGATGACATGTAATGAACTTAGGTATCTTATAATAGGAAACAGATACAAATCCAGGAAACCTATTTTCTAGTCTGAAAAAAAGCATAAACATCAGCAATGGGTGAGGGTTGTTTTATTTTATATTTCAGCACAGCTGGACCTCTGAAGGTAGACTAACAAACATCTAAAACTTTAGAAATATGCTGGTATAAAAAAAGGAAAGAGGTGAAGGAATGTGAAAGAAGTAATATAAATGATTTGGGATTGATTATCAGATATAAATAAATAAACTGCCGGAAGTTTCTGCTTGCAGAAATAGTTCTCCTTTCTCCATCGCTGTCACCACAATGCCCTGCTTACCCTCCAAAAATGGAGCTGCAGGACATTTCAGGTAGTCCTTGACTTAACAACTATTTTTTCAGCAACCATTCAAAGTTAAAAAGACAATTTTAAAAAGTGACAGGACTGGTTGTCATACTTGCAACCATGGCTGGCATTCCTGCAGTCGTGTGATCAGAATTTGGGTGCTTGACAATCAGTGTGTACAGGTAATCCTCGATTTAACAGTTCATTTAATGACCGTTCAAAGTTACAATGGCACTGAAAAGAGAGACTTACAACCGTTTTTCACACTTACAACCGTTGCAATATCCCCGTGATCATGCGATCAAAATTCAGACACTTGGCAACTGACTCATATCTATGACAGTTGCAGTGTCTTGGAGTCATGTAATCCCTTTTTGCGACCTTCTGACAAGCAAAGTTGATGGAGAAACTAGATTCACTTAACAACCGTGTTACTAACTTAACACCTGCAGTGATTCACTTAACAACTAAGGCAAGAAAAGTCATAAAACGGAGCAAAACTCACTTAACAAATGTCGCATTCAGCAACAGAAATTTTGGGCTCAATTGTGGTTGTAAGTCAAGGACTACCTGTATTTATGACAGTTGCTGCATCCCCGATCAGCAATTTGCTACTTTCTAAGCCAACTTCCAACAATCAGAATCAGTGCTGGATTCAATTAATGACTGCATGATTCACTTAACGACTGCAATGATTCGCTTAACAACTCACAGCCACCATCGTAAAACCAGACGCGATTTCCTTAACCGCCTTGCTTAAAAATGTAAATTCTGTTCCCAATTGTGATCCTAAATTGAGGGCTACTTGTCCAGATAATTTTCAATTTATGACTATCCATTTAACAACCGTTCAAAATTACCGTGGTGCTAAAAAAAATGACTTACAATCAATCCTCTTACATATGACCAGCTGTTGTGGCCCGCCAGCGGCCTGCGCGGATTGTGGCTGATCCCGACGGCGAGGAGGCTGGTGTGGTGTCGCGCCAGGAGCCTGTGCAGCCGGCGCTTTAGTTGGACAGCGAGGAGGCTGAAGAGGATCTGGTGCCAGAGGCAGAAACTCAGCCAGGGCCTTCAGAACCTCCAGAGGCTCCTTCAAGTGAAGAGACTGAAGTGGAGGAGCCTCTTCTCAATGCTCGAGCACGCAGGGCTGCCAAAAGGCAGGAATGGCTACTCAGGAGGAGGTCTCCTCGAGAGTAAGGCTTGGGGTTAATTGGCCACTCCCTTAGCCTATTTAAGTTCACACAGAGATAGCAAACATTGCTGGAAACAATGTTTGGTCCTACACAGAGCATTTTGAGTGAGTTTTTTGTTACAACTTGGTTTCTGGGCTGATTGCCAACCCTTGTCGGACTTTGTTTAAACTCTGTAATTCATAGCAGGCTGATAAGGACATTTGTGGTTAAAGCCTGCATTTTGAAAGGGATCTGTTTGTATTAAACGGAGTTTTTGGAGCTGTGTGTGTGTGTGCTACACTTCTTGGGACCCGTAGCTGGGGCAGAACACCAGCAGTCATCTTACTGCTATTTGGTTGCTTGGCAACCCTTGGTGGCCCAGGGTCACCTGATTGCCATTTGCAGCTGGTATCTGACAAGCAAAGCCAGCTGGAGGTCACAAGTCATGGTCATGTGATGTCTCATAATGATTATGGTGAAAGAAAGATTTTTAAAATTGGGGTAGTCGTGTGATGCTTCACTTCATGACCACAACTTTTCCAGGCCCAATTGTGGTTATAAATTGAGCACTACCTTAGCTGAATACAGTTTACCTTAGGTACATGTCACATTATATTTACCCACCCCCACTCCATGCCAGCGCAACAGCGATAGAGAAGTGCTCAATGAATGCTGTTGAGAGATGGGAATTTTTAATTATTATTTTTTTACAAAGTGGGAGGACTCAAAACACAGTGGTTATTTTTAAACCCAAGCCTTGGTTCACATTTTTGTAGTAGTTCCCCCCCCGAACCATTTAGTTTTGCAAAGCGCCACGATTTTTGTAGATGCAGCCTGGCCATTTCATCTAGAACTATTCCTTGGTTACAAGAAGAAAGGAGCAAGGAGATTTCTTGTTGGCTCCTGACGGTCGAAAGGATGGTGTGGCTGGGACGTATTGTGTTCCACCCAGCGCCAGCATTTCTTCTAACTCAGTGCAGGCTCTGCAAGAGCAATGCAGATTGGGTTGCTTTTTTGTGAATCATGGCACGCAGCTGGAGTGTCGAAAGACCTGGAGACTATCACATGTGAAACTGATACAGGAGGATTGCACAGACTTCCAAATAAACTGCTTTCAGGTACGGTTCTCTTATTCCCCCGCTCCCTCAACCCCGGCTGATTTCCTTCCTTCCTTCCTTCCTTCCTTTCTTTTTCTTTTTCCTTTGTAGTTTTAAACATGAAGTTATAAGATAAGATACAAAATACAAAAGTAAATAGGAAAGAAGTGGAGGGAAAGGGGTGGGAAGAGAAGTGAGGAAAGGTTGGGAAAGTGGGGGGGAGCATTGACTTCCGACTCCCTCTGTTGCAGTAAAATAAGGCATTAATATAAAACTGCAACTTTTTGCTTTTTCATAGTAATATAAACTAGCCATTTCTATAAGCATCTATCAATCTACTGTATTTTTTGGTTTATAAGTCAACTTTCTTTCCCCCCAAAAAAATGGTGGAAATATCTTATAGAGCGAATCTTGCCGAAGCCCTGCTCACCCACCAGCCCACACCCTTCGGCCTCCTGGAATACTGCCGATCAGCTGTTCTATTTTCGGCCTCCACATGTCCCATTTTCAGCGCTTTCCAGACTGCGGGGATTGCCACCTCTGCCTATCGCCACCGAATGAATGGGCCGAAACGGGATACATTGAGGCTGAAAATGGGGCACGCGGAGGCAGCGATAGATGATGGGCAGCGGTGATCCCTGCAGCCTGGAACAGCTGATCGGTGGTATTCCAGGAGGCCAATCCTATCGCCAATCAGCTGCTTGTGCTAAATCAGGCTGTGCTGAAGCTGACCAGGCTGTTGCTGTTTGCTGCAAGGAGGCAAATTGCTGGGAGGCAGAAGCAGATTTTTTTTTTCTTGTTTTCCACCCCAAAAGCTAGGTGCATTTTATGGTCCGGAGCATCTTATAGTGCGAAAAATACAGTAATCGGTAAAACCCAGAATCAGAGTTTCATTTTTTTCCCACCTCAAGCACAAAGTTCAGAAGCGGTCTCCATGTGGAAACAAAGGTACTTATATTCTTTTTTTTAATCAAAATAGTCAATTTAGCTATTTCTGCCATCTCCATCAGCTTCTGCAACCATTTGCCTATGATGGGAACTGAAGCGTCCTTTCATTTTTGTGCATACAATAGTCTTGCTGCTGTCAACATATATAGGGATGGCTGATTTCTTTCTTGAAACACGGTTATCACTGAGCTTTTCCTAACCTTAATAAATCTACTCACATTAGCTGCCTATACAGGAAGTCCTCGACTTATCACCCCACTTGAGCCCAACATTTCTGTTGCTAAGTGAGACAGTTGTTAAGTGATTTTTGTCCCATTTTTAGGATCTTTCTTGCCACAGTTGTTCAGTGAATAGCTGCAGTTGTTAAGTTAGTAACACAATTGTTAAGTGAATCTGGCTTCCCCCATTGATTTTGCTTATCAGAAGGCCATGAAATGTAAATCACCTGGCCCCAGGACAGCGCAACCGTCATAAATATGAGTCAGTTGCCAAGCCTCTGAATTTTGATCATGTGACCATAGGGATACTACAAAGGTCATAAGTCTGGAAAATACCCTTTTTTCAGTGCCGTTGTAATTTTGAACAGTCACTAAATGGAACTATTTTAAGTCGAGGACTATCTGTACCAGAAAGATGAATGTCAACAAGAACAAATAAAAGTCCTTTATTTAAGTAGGAAAAATGGAAGGCATGAATGCCTGGGCAGTCCTGCAGGCAAAATCTTAGTGGGTCATAAGCTTGAACAGGAGCCAAAAGTAAGATGCCGTTGGGGAAAAAAGCCAATATAATTTGCTGGGCTGCACTAAGTTATTTTTCTTCTCTACTCTGCATTGGGGGAGCCACAGTTACAATACCGTATCCAAACTGGAGCAAGTGTAAAGGAAACCAACCAACAAGACATGATCATGGAGTGGGGGAAAGCTTATGAAGAACAGTTAGTGATAATAGATATATTTCACTTGGAGAAGAAAAAAACCACTGGGAGGAATTGTAATAGCTGTCTCAAGTATTTGAAGAGCTGGCATGTAATAAAAATCAGGACAGATTTGTGTGCCGAAGACAAGCCAAGAAAATAATGGCTTAAAATAACAATGGAATAGATCATTAGGAAGAATTTCCTAACAGCAAAAGCTGTTCCTCAGCAGGTGGTAGATTTTCCTTTGTTGGAAATATTTAAACAGAAGTTGGCCACCTGTTCAGAATACTCTAGGAACAGGTTTCTACATTAGAAAAGGAGTTGTCTTGAAGGTCCCTTCCAACATTTATTTTCTCTGGTTCTATGAAGGTTGTTACAGAACCCAGCCATGTTTAAATGCATTCCTTAAATCAGCAGAAAGGTATGCCATCCTAAATTGAACCAAGAGGACAGCCAAGCTCCAATCTGCCTCAGTTAAGAAGGCCAGTGAGTAGCCTTGGAGTTTTGATTTAAGGAAAGACATGTCATTAGCCCCATGCCCATCCCACCCCGGTTGTGAAAACAGCAAAAATATGAAATCCATTTTATATTAACTGCAGAAGCGGTAAAAAAACAACACTAATGCATTTCTTTGGGATAGAACCAACCACACACAACAGGTACAACTTGACTTTGTTTCTCAGATTAAATTGGCTTCCTCTGCACCACAGGACAAGTGTTCTCTCAAGAGAAAGTGCCACTCGTGCTTTTTACACACACACGCACACTTTCCAATAAAATGCTACCATCATATGTATACAGATAACGCTTAGCCAATACTTTCTGAAATGCCAGTCAGAGACATTAAGTAAGACCTTTGCAGAAGTCAGCTGGCAAGTGTTCCTGTAATCCTGGCCAAAATAGACAAGGACAAAGTCAGTGAGAAGCCAGATTCACTTAACAACCAGGATACTGACTTACCAACTGCAGTGATTCATTTACTGTGGCAAGAAAGCAATAACAATAGCACTTAGACTTATATACCACTTTATAGTGTTTTACAGCCCTTTCTAAGCAGTTTACAGAGTCAGCATATTGCCCCCAACAATCTGGGTCCTCATTTTACCCACCTTGGAAGGATGGAAGGCTGAGTCAATGTTGAGCAATGATGAAATTTGAACTGCCAAATTCCAAACTACACTCTAAACACTGCGCCACCATCGCTCCGTAAAATGGGGCAAAACTCACTTAACAAATGTTTTACTCAGGGGTGAAATTCAGCGGGTTCTGACAGGTTCTGGAGAACCAGTAGCGGAAATTTTGAGTAGTTCAGAGAACCGGTAGCGGAAATTTTGAGCAGTTTGGGGAACCAGCAAATACCACCTCTGGCTAGTCCCAGAGTAGGGTGGGAATGGGGATTTTGCAATACCCTTCCTCCAGGAGTGGGGCGGGAATGGAGATTTTGCAATATCCTTGCCACACCATGCCCACCAAGCCACACCACGCCCACTAAGCCACGCCCATAGAACTGGTAGTAAAACAATTTGGATTTCACCATTGGTTTTACTTAGCAACAGAAATTTCCGCTCAGTTGTGATCGTTAAGTCAAGGACTACTTGTATTTTAAAACATGAAGCTTCATTGCCTGACATTACCTTCTTCTCATCTCTAGTCTACAATGAAGCTTAAATTTGCCTTTAGCTGTTTCAGTTAAGTAGTTTTTCCGAGTCCATCTAGAATTAAGATGCCCTGGAGATACTGCAGAGGGATATCTGTGGGTGTCAGAAGAATTTATTGCTGCAACCCGCCTGCCTTCCAAATCTACCCTATTAACTGTCCACTAAATTCAAGCTACCCAAGGATAGCTCTAAAGCACACAAATGTTGAATAATCACACAGTTCGGCCTTAAGGTAAAGAAAAGACTGCTTTTACGCACTGTGCTATGTATCTTGTGAGGCAAAGCTTTTTCCTTTATGTAACGTTTGGGTAACAGTAAGTGTGATGAGGTGGATCCTTTACAGGCAAGAGTTACGTCAGTTTTCTCCACTGAGTGCAAGGGGAGATCAGCAATTACTGCAACATATTGATTTCCACAGAGCTTTGAGAAGCGGCTTAGAAAAGCCCACGGGTGTTGTTATGCCTTGCAGAGCTCTGATTTAAATCAACTTCCCTCAGCCTGATACATAGGAAGGGAAATAGGAGTTGTAGCCAACCCATTTGGATGGCAACAGGCAATGGAAAATTGCCTTCTATTATTATGTGAGCTAAATATAACAGGTTTCATTCCTTGTGTGGCTATTATTAGCAAAGGTGCTATTTCTAATGCTTTTCTTGATACACTGATTTTGGCCCCATTTTTTGTTTCACTACATGAAGAGAAGCACACATCTCCCTGTACTCATGAAGGAATTAATTGTATTTTCCCATTTCCCAGCATGTAACTTGCATTCTTTACCATTACATCGTAAGAAAGGGGTTGTTGAATTGGATCAAATTTGTCCACATTTAGTCTCTGATGCGTCTGGAATGAATGAATGAAAGCAGGCATTACAAAGACAGCCAATGCTTGTTGCTTTTCTCCCCTGTTTGGAGACCTCTGGTTGTAGCTTGCATCAAGCCATCAAATGTGGTTACACAGGGAACTCCGTTTTGAAATTATCCTCCCTGTATCCAAGGATCAGAGACTGCTCTGGCCACTCAGGTAGCCCTTGACTTATGATCACAATTGAGCCCGAAATTTACATGGCTAAGCAAGACGGTTAAGTGAGTTTTGCTCCTCTTTACGATCTATCTTGTCACAATTGTTAAGTGAATCCCTGCAATTGTTAAGTTAGTAACACGGTTGTGAAGCAAACCTGGGTTACCCATTGACTTTGCTTGTCAGAAGGTCGCAAAAGGCAATCGCATAACCCCTGGGCACTGCAACTGTCACAAATACTCACCAGTTGTCAAGCGTCCAAATTTTGATCATGTGACATGAGGATGCAGCAAGAGTCACAAGTGTAAAAAAAGGCCATAAGTTAACTTTTTTCAGCGTAACTTTGAGTAGTCACTAAACAAATGATTGTAAGTCGACAACTACTTGTAGTAAATCCAAGGCAAATCCCTTTCTGTTGTAAAGCTAGAACTAGAAAATGTTTTTTCTGTAAGGGCCTGTCAAACTCTGATGCAAGATTA